ATTTCTCCATTAGGATGCGACGCCATCTAGAAACCATTTTAAAATCTGAACCAAAATATACAAACTGTACTGTATGACAATGATAAGATTTAACCATCTCTCATTTGTCGACACGTGATGAACCCACACGTTGCTATTTTCTGCACCGTGTGGGGTATTTGGGTTTCTAGGTTAGGTATTCTAGTATTTTGATAAGGTACAGTTCCAACTCTATTTTTTGACGGTAGATTGTGTGACGGGGTGCGGAGAAAAACAGAGTGTAATCAGCATTCAACACCAAAGCAACCAAGCCAAGCCAAGCCAAGCCAAGCTAAGCTATCTTACGTGGGCTACAATTTTGGCTAGGTAAGGAATTTTTTTTTTAGTTTTGTGTTTTAAGTTTACCGCGATCATCTGTAGAGACCCAGTTAAATATTTAGAAGAAGAAATTACGTGTCAGAGACATTTACAGTGCATTACCATAACAATAGGTAACAGTTGAATCAAGTTTGTCACAGCGGTGTTATAATTTCAAATAACGTTGATCCACATCGAGTTTCCTGGCAGCAGACAACAGATACATCATGATTCTCCCCCGGTGTTAATTTACTCTTGATTTCCAGGTCGACAAAGAGGTGATTGTGTGTTATATCGTGAAGCAGTGTTGCCCCCTTGTATAACTAACCGATGTGTCGTGTGTCGGTGGGTGGTACAGGAGCAGGGGGGTTCCCAGGTGGCAGCCGAACACACACCAGCGGTTGAATAATAGGACAAAGCCAGAGAGAGTGAGGGCGGGAGAGGCGTTTATTGCAGCAGCATGTTGTCAGCGCGCGGCCAGTGTCAGCGACCCTCTCCTCTTTAACCAGCAACAGAAGTGTCGCTCGGCCGCCCGGAAATCAAGTCCCGAGCCTCTCCTAGATAACTCTCCACACCCCCCCCCCCCAAAAAAAAAAGAATTAATAATAAGGTTAGATAAAGCGATATGAAAAATATGGGAAGAGTTGATTTTTTGTTTGGTCAAGAATGTAAATAAGTGAGAGAAATATTGTCTTGTGATAGTTTTTATAGAATGTTTGGATTATTTATTTATTTATTTATTTATTTATTTATTTATTTTTAACACGTACAAAGGCAGTGAATCTTAAAGCTGTGTGGGAGTGTTACTTGAAATAGAGAAAAAAAAAAGGTAAGTGTTTGGCTAAAAAGACGCACATAATGAGGGAAAATATATCTCGTATTATGCAAAATAAATGCTAGAAATAATGTTAGTAATTTTGGCTATAAAAGGTGAAATACTGTGAGAAAAGTACACATGTTTATGAAGATAATTTGCTGTGCTGTACTTCATCGGCGTTAAAAAATGGAACTAGTACTGTATTTGAATTCGTTTTATGTAATGTAATAAGTTTCAAAATACTGTATCCACTAAAAACAGCAATTTAAAACTTCACAGTTCACTCTAGCGGCAAAAACAGACGAGTTCTGTATGTCTTCATGAAGGTTCGAAGTCATGTTTTGGCTACTGCTGCTGCTCTCTGCCTCACCGTCATGCGTGGTTATTGTACTGTATGTGTGTGTCAGTAATAACCATTAAAGTACTTCTACCATCTAGTAAATATTATCTGTGGTTAGTGATACTTTTATAACCGGGGTGACTTTATATATAGCATTGGGAGAAACATGAGGGAGTATTAGTAGTAGTAGCAGCAGCAGTAGTATGCATACGGGGAGAGAATTCTGAATGTTGCCTGGTTGAGATGTCGACTGTCCTTCTCTCTGCTTAGGTCTGCATTGCTCTGCCATAGGGGAACGAGATCTTCGGCTCCAAAACCGTCAACAGTCGCTGATATTGACTATGAGGCAACAGATTTGCGGCTCAACTAACTCAAAACAGCTAGGGTAGCTACTTTTATATTAGGATATTTAATTTTAAGGTACTAAAATGGAGGCGAAGGTGTGGCTGTGGGGGAGGCTGGAGGCCACGTTTAAAAAAAAGTAGTTAGTAGTAATAGTAGTACTGGTAGTAGTACTATAATAGTAGTAGTAATAATCATCAGTGTTGTAAAAGGCGACACAGGAACTAGTAGTAATGGTAGTGGTTCATTAAAGTAATATATAGAGAAAAATAAATAACAATTAAATAGAAATAGTATTAACAGTCACTGTCAAAACGTTAATAAACAAGAATATTAATTTGACGTGCATATGTAAGCAAAATTGGACGCTTCGGCTTGATCAAAATTCCATTATCATTACCATTAATAATTAAATTCATCTCTGAGCTTCGTTACTAATACCCATTGCATATTTTATGAATTAATTTTCAATGGTTATCATGGATCAAACATTCTCTGGTGTCGGAACGTGACGAAGAAATTAAATTGTTAAAGGAAGGTATTTCCTCAACACAAATTTATTCCAAAGATGTTGAAGCATAAAGATAGGGATGGCATATGGCAACACAATATAGAGATGAGTTATGGCAAATTGATTTAGGGGTGAAATATGGCAGCAGCACAATATGATAGGGGTGAAATATGGCAACATTAGAGGGCTGAAACGTGGCCAAAAAAATAGAGGACTGAAATGTGGCAACACTAAGCAGATCAGCATTATGATTGGCTGAACCTTTACTTGGTCTCTCTCGCGTAAAGAAAGAGAAAAAAAAAATACGTGCCTGGGGAATTATTTGATCAGTGGCTCGTATACTTCAAAGTGATGATGATATCGTCCGTCCTCAACGTCCGTCTGCCTGCAAAGCTACCTGACCAGCCCAGAAATTGGAGTTTGTTCATCCCCGCCGCCTCCACACAGTTCGAGAGTCGGATACCATCGATCTGAAGGCAATAAAAGTCCCTGATATGTCACAGAGACGCGTCCAGGGAGTAAAAATCTATATCGACGATGTGTTTTAGGACGTGATCACTTGGCCAAATTCAGTGTAGGTGTTTTGGTGAACTGGTTAGGTTAGGTTAGGTTAAGTCACGTGAATATTTGTTTTTTCTTCTTAGATTCAGTTTTCTAGGCTACTCGACGAGGAAAAGAGTGTAGACCTTACATGTCTAATGTGCTCAAAGACTCACAAATTTCCCCCGAGTGATTCTTGCTGATATGAAGTAAGGGTCTGGCAGTGCAGTTTAGATAGATATATTGGAGCTTAGTAAAATCATATACAAGTTTATACTGGCTCATCAACAATGCACGTATGCAACAAACTTATACCGGTCAAGTATGCAAACAATGAATCAGACGAACATCAGGCACCTTAGCTTATTTCACCTGATTCAACACTCAATCTAGACTCCTAGAGGGTTAGATTAGGTTAGGTTAGGTTAGCGTCAGAGTCCTGTATTAACCCTAACGTGTCTACCTACCTATTACCTGGCGTTGGGTTTTCTCTGGAGAGGGTTAAGAACTTAAGAACATAAGACTTGAATGGCTTTTACTGGAACGGTCAAAGTTTTGCCATAAATAAGCGTATCTCATTGAGCCGTCAGTAATCAGAGACGTGTTCTGTACACGTCTTGTGTCTTAGATATTTGTAGTTTAATTTGGATCACCCGATGGTTTAGGTACCCCAGCTGTTTCGTTTGTGTATTTATCACCCTGATGTTAACTTAACCTAGATTAATTTAACCTAACCTAATGTTAACCTAACCTAACCTTACCAGGTAAATTACAGTGGTTTATCATCAGGTGAAATAAGGTGAATGATGTCTTAATCTTTAGGTGATCCTTTACCTGACGAAGAGAACTCACCTAATTTGTGCATTTCAGCTAACACACCAAATGGACAAGATGGCGTCAAAGTTTCACCTGTACTGTAGAGGGGTTGATGGAGTTTGATCTACGAATCTTTGGGACTCCGAACCCCGTGGAACATCGGACCCCGTGGAGCATCGAACCCCGTGGAGCATCGGACCTCGTGGAGCATCGGACCTCGTGGAGCATCGGACCTCGTGGAGCATAAATCAATCTCACTTATGAGTTTCATCAAGAAGTCTTCATGGAGAGTTAACGAGGTAATGTATCGTATTGAGAAACTTGTGATGTAATTAATTATCGAAAAGAGGCAATTAATATTAATAATGATCCTACTAGTGCTACTATTACTACGACTACTACTCCTACTACTACTACTACTTATACTACTACTATTACTAAAAATAACAATTAGGTCTAGGAAATGATAAAATAAAATAGCCTTATCCTCCTCCAGTTAACTTGTTCTGGTCAACACAACATTTACCCAATACTATATAACTCCTCAGAACTTTGTATAGAATGGAGGTGTTTATATTGTCCCTCTATGAATTGAGCCCAGATGATGTTTGTTCCTGGTAAGATGCAGCTGATGCTCACCCATGTCTTCTCTCTCTGGGTGAAGGAGAGGTCCGTATGACCTGCAGGAACACCCTTGTCCACTAAACTACAGCGGCAGCGGGACCCAGGGTGGACACTGCCATCCTCCTCGGCGACTACTACACCGATGACGACAAGCACCTCTGTCGTCTTTGGGTAGGAGGGGAAGAAGATCATATCGCATTCTGACAATAATGTAAGTGTTCATGTTTGTACCTCATCGATCATCTTGTCGTGTTAGTATTAGTGCCGGTGGTGGTGCCACAACCACCGGCACTAATACTAATACCGTGGTGGTGGTGATAGGAGACCGAGCGATAAAAGATCGTAGAGGTGAATCTCTTCATTTTTACCCTTTTTCAGTTAATCTGTGATGAGGGGTGTTGGGGAGACGTTAGTGGTGATGGCAGGGTGTCAGGTGCCACTCACTGTATTAGTGTTCGCTCCAGGATAAAGGAATTTTTCCCGGGAACATACTATAATTCGGGGCTAAGTGGACTTGCACGCTTCAGTCGTATGTCTTTTTAACGGGGTTTCATATGAGTCACAGGCTAGAGTAAGGGGTGCCGATGGGGGGAAGGGTAGCGCGTGTAGCGTGGCTGCTGAGGGGGGGACGGGGAGCAGCAACAGCAGCAGCAGGGTCAGGGAGGCGGGTGGCGGGCGCCAGCAGTCTGCGACTACACGCTTGGCGCGAGCGTCAGTTTGGTCCCCTCCGTGTCCGCCACCACTCGGCCTATCCTTCACTACCTCGTACTGACGGATACTGTAGTGAGTGAGGTGTACCCGTGGTGGGCTGCCCCTACTGTCACCATCACCACACGCTGGTGAGTACCCACTCCACTACGTACGGCCTTGACGCGTGCTGCTACTCCAGTAGTGTATATCAGTTAGGACAAGTGAATCGAGGCTCTCAAGTTACTGTACTACCTGAGTGTACTTGAGTTAGCAAGGCTCTTTAAGGGTATATATATTAATGGAGCAGCAAAATACATTGGTGTACCTTGATGATATATTTATAGATGGGAGAAATAACTCTGTACTTCACGACATAAAGCATTTTGGTATACGACTACAGTATCTTAATTATCTCTGGTATGTTGCACACACACACACACACACACACACACACCTTACAAGGTATACATGGCGAGACTCCCAAGAACCTTGTTTTGTTGTTGATACTTACCGCCGCCGAGGGATGAAGGTCGTGGGCTAGACGACCTTTTTAGCTCTTGTTGACGATGGTGTGTGTGTGTGTGTGTGTGTGTGTCGACATTTTAGTCTTCATGATACTTAGAGAGTAAATCCTTTGTCGCGATACCTTGAATAGTATTCAATATCGGCGGCCAGCGACCTCACTTTCACACCTCGGGCTGGTCACTAACACACCATCACACCTCGGCCTGATCCCTAACCACACCATCAAGATTATAACAGTGGCCTTTGCATTAATGAACCACAGGTGTACAGGTCGTTAAACACGTTAATCAATTAAGTTCTAACCACACCTGTCGTCAACACGTAGTAATCAAGAGTGTTACCTTTTTTTGATGGTGTATTGGGGGTGTAAGAATGTCGTGTGGTGGTGGTGATAGTGGTGATGGTGGTGGTGGTGGTGGCGGTAGCGGTGGTGGAAGTGGTGGTAGTGGTGGTGGTGGTGGTGGCGGTGGTGGTGGTAGTGGTGGTAGTGGTGGTGGTGGTGGTGTTTTGTGGTGGTGGTAGTGGTGGTAGTGGTGGTGGTGGTGGTGGCGGTGGCGGTAGAAGTAGTAGTAGTGGTAGTGGTGGTGATAGTGTGGTGGTGTTTGTGGTGGTGGTAGTGGTGGTGGTGGAAGTGGTAGTAGTAGTGATAGTGGTGGTGGTGTTTGTGGTGGTGGTAGTGGTGGTGCTGGTGATAGTAGTGGTGGGGGGAAGTGCCACGCGCTGCCACAAGTGTATTAACGAAATATTTAATTAACACAGAGACACGAGAGCTGTACACAGGGTTGCCAACGTATTCTTACAAGGAGGTGTTCACTGTTTAACTATCCGTGTGTGTGCGTGCGTGCGTGCGTGCGTGCGTGCGTGTGTGTGTGTGTCAGCCTATTTACTTGTAATTTAATACAGGTAAGTCTAAGTACACCTAACCCAATTTTAGTTTGAATTATAATGAGAGTTGTTTGAATTAGGTTAGGTTAAGTTAGGTTAGGTTAGGTTAGGTTAGGTTAAGTTAGGTTAGGATCAATCACGTATGGTAAAGTAGTTTATAAACTGACGCACACCATTGGCCTGTTAAGTACTATACATACATACATACATACATACATACATACATACATACAGACTCGGTAAGCATGCACACACACGCACACACACACACACAGCATCGTAATCATGTCCCCCCCAACCCCCCCCTCTCTCTCTCTCTCGTCTATCTTTCATTTTTAATCTCCCTCCCTCGTCTCATTCCTTCCCTCTCACCTCGATCTCTCACTATTCTCACTCCTCTCTCTCCCCTCTCACTTTTTTCTCATCTCCCTCTCACTTACTCTTATTTATCACCTCTTACATTTTATCCATCATTCGTCACTTCCCTCTATCTCACTCCACTCTATCTCACTCCACTCACTTCTTCCTCTCTTTTTATCCCTCCCTCTCACCCTACTCACTTCTCCCTTTCCTCGTATCCTTCCCTCTCATCTCTCCCTACGTCAAGCATCAATTCCTCTTCCTCCCATTCACCTTTCCCTTTCGCCTCTTACCCCGTTTCTCGCTTCTCACATTTCCCTCCCTCACACATCTCCCTCCCCAAACACCTCCCTCTCACCTGTCCCTCCTCTCACCCTCTCTCACCTGTCCCTCCTCTCACATCTCCCTCACCCTCCCCCTCTCCCTCACATCTCCCTCTCACTGTCCCTCCCTCTCACATCTCCCTCTCACCTGTCCCTCCCTCTCACCTCTCCCTCTCACCTGTCCCTCCCTCTCACCTCTCCCTCTCACCTGTCCCTCCCTCTCACCTCTCTTTCTCACTGTTCCTACATCAATCATCAATACCTCTCTATCCCAACACTGTACTCTTGATAAATACCTGTTTATTTATTTCCGCGTTTACACAGCCTGTTTTCATTTGTTTATCCCAGCCAAGTAATGGTCAAAAAAATGTGCTAAGGTGTAACAGACTGTGCTAAGGTGTAACAAGGTGTACTTTAATTAGACAGGTAAAGGTGCTTACGGCTGCTATATATATATTTTACAATTTTTTTTTTATATCAGGGAATATGAGAACGTATTAAGTAATAATATTAGAGTCTTAGTGCATTTTCGACGCCATTTTATCCCCCGTGTTTTAAGTTCTATGTGATGTCTCCCTTTACGTGTCCAATTTTGGGGGAAGGAAAACGTATCGTACCGTAAGTAGAAGGTTTGAGAGAGAGAGAGAGAGAGAGAGAGAGAGGCAGTTACTCGAGTATCGGTGTCTCCATCCCCTTGCTGCAGGCTAGGACGATATTGCAACGCCAGTGCGAGCATTCAACAGCGCCTGGTTTTTTTTTTTTGGTCTGCTATCCATTCTGTAACCATGACACCATCACACACTTTTGGATGCTTGCTTGGTCAGTCAGTGGAAGGTTCGCTCGTCTTTTACCAGTAGTGGCTGCCTGTCTGTCTGTCTGTCTGTCTGTCTGTCTGTCTGTCTGTCTGTCTGTCTGTCTCTCTTTCTAAGTATCGAGAGAGATAGATAGATAGATAGAGATAACAGAGATAGGTAGGTGGGTGGATGGATTGATGCGCACATACATACAGGTACACACATACACATACATACATACATACATACATACATACATACATACATACATACATACATACATACAGTACAGTACATATCGGTCATGAGCCGCATTAAGACACACTATGAAGAAAATAAATTCCTACTGTATATGATAAAAACAAAAACATCCATCTGTCAAGCGTCCTATAATGGTTGGTATTGAGTTTGATAAATAGTCAAAATAACTTACCATTAATCATTACCAATCTAACTACGCCTTTCCACCCGGTCGACGTGATAATCTATATGTGTTATACTTAGCCAACAGCGATATGATAGATAGCATTCGTTTCTACATCGTTCGATATGTTGATGTGAGAACCTGTACCAGTTGTCGATGGTTGTGAGGATTAGGCTGTCACAGTTTTATTTCACCTGTAGTTTGGGCCCCCTTATGCAATGCTACCTGGTGGGGTTAGGTTCGCGTTAGGGTGGGGAGTCTTCAGGTGATATAAGCTGCTTGGGTGTCTAATCTTCATGTGATCTTAACACACAGTCAAACACTCTAACCTAACCTAACCTAACCTAACCTAACCTAACCTAACCTAACCTAACCTAACCTAACCTAACCTAACCTAACCAAACTCCTCCCAAAAAATCCTTAGCTACACGGTGAATCTTGTTAAGTGAGGAGATACCATCACCAATTCTTTCACCTTCCTTCCTTCCTTCCTTCCTTCCTTCCTTCCTTCGTTCCTTCGTTCCTTCCTTCCTTCCTGCCTTCCTTCCTGCCTTCCTTCCTTCCTTCTTTCCTTCCTTCCTTCCTTCCTTCCTTCCTTCCTTCCTTCCTTCCTTCCTTCCTCACCAGACAAGAATAAACACCCCCTTGCCCTTGGTCTGACTCCCACCTAGAAATATTTATACCTTATCTGATTCCTGTCTGAGCTCGTTTTCCTGGAATGGCTCTCGGGTTAATAAAGACTCAATCCTTTCTATGCAAGACTCACATAACTCAAAATATCTCGTCTTATAGAGTTTTATGATAGCAACGACTGAGTTCAAAGGTGGTGGTGGTGGGAGGGGCAGAAGGAGGGGGTGGATGGTGGTGTGGTGGGGGCTGTGGTGGCATTAGTGGTGGTGATATGGGGGGGGGATGTGGTAGTATGTGGTGAGGAGGATGATGAAACTATTACTTTTATTATATATCTGTCACATGCCGTCAGTCAGCCAGTCAGTATTAATAATGCCCTTTCACACACACACACACACACCTACACACACAAACACACACACACACACACACAGCACCACACACACACACACACACACACACACCTACACACACACACACACACACACACACACACACACACACACACCTAGACACTTCGTATATACTGTGTTGAGATGTAGATCAATAGAAGGGTCATCAATCACCAGCCAACACTATTTACCTTTCCGTCAACCCCATGATAGACAGATCAACTCACACCTAGGTCATTAATCACCCAGGTACAATGTTTACCAGCTTCCACTGCCTCGCTTTTATTATATAGTGTTCGTCATTATTATACACTGGGATTATTATTCATTATTATTCATTGTAATTATCATTATTCTTCACTGGGAGGGGGAGGGGACAGGTCTGGAGGGGGGGGGGGTGGAGGGATGGAGGGGTCGGGAGGTTGCCAGTTGATCAATGAATAAGAAACACGACACTAATTAAGGGCGATGGAAAGTTGCTTCATTAACTGTTACCTTCCATGATCTTACCAGAGTCTTCGTGTACGTTATTTAAAGGTACACATGGGCGCCATCTTCTTTTTTTTTGTAGTGTACGTATTTCACCAAGTGCACATATACCTTCTCCACCACCACCACCTCCAACGTGAACGCAGACCTTCTCCTCTTCCTCCTTCCTCCTCCATCCACCTCTTCCTCCTTCCTCCTCCTCCTCCATCCACCTCTTCCTCCTTCCTCCTCCTCCATCCATCCTTCCTCCTCCTCCTCCTCCTCCACCTCTTCCTCCTCCTCCCTCCATCCACCTCTTCCTCCTCCTCCTCCATCTCTTCCTCCCTC